AAGACATGCTACTTTCACATTCGTTCCATTGGTACCATCCGAAAATTCATCACTAAAGAGAGTGCACATATCCTGGTCAGATGTCTTGTGTCTTCCCGCCTAGACTACTGCAATAGCCTTCTCACTGGAATATCCAAACACATGAAAAAAAATCCAGAAAGTGCAGAATACAGCCGCTAGAATTATATCTTTGAGTTCTAAATATGATCATATAACCCCTGTAATAAAGTCTTTGCACTGGCTTCCTGTTCAATACCGAGTTGACTTCAAAGTTCTGTGTACAGTCTTTAAGTGTCTCAACAACCTTGCCCCCTACATATCTCTCATCTCTCCTAACCCAGTATGTGCCTTCCAGAACTCTACGTTCCCAGGATAAACAGCTCCTCAAAGTACCTCAAGCTCGGCACACCTCTTTTGGAAAGAGGAGTTTTCAGCATGTCGCGCCTCTCTTATGGAACTCTCTACCACTCCAAATCAAACTTGCCCCGACCCTGCACTCTTTTAAGAAGGACCTAAAGACATTCCTTTTAACTAAAGTCTATAATTGACATTTTCCCTTCTTTTGTAAATAGTTTTAATGCGCCATGAGCATGTATGAGTGGGTGGACACTGTCGCTTTACAAATATCCACTATTATTATATTATTATTATGACACACCTTGCTAAATTATTCTCCTGGTCGGGATTCGTCAGACATCCATCTGTTCCAAAACAAAGAAAACTCAAGTCAGAACCCATTTCCTATAAGAAACTCATTTAGAATTTGTACATAAAATGTGTGTGCGTGAAGACTTCGCTCGTCGCTATGGCTGAAATAATGCCGATGCGACGTAAACGTTAACTCACTCACTCACTCATGAACAATGACGTCGTAGAAGCCGATGGATCGTTTCGGGCCTATACAAAACTTGGATAAAATCCATGTTCCTCCTCCTTGGCAGTTACGTACGATATATAGTCTTTTGAGTCAGTGCACAATGATAGCAATGATAAATTCGGCTGATGGACATTTTGCGAAGGATGCATGACAAGGTACTAAATAATTTACAGATTTGTGACATATTGCAATAAGAAAAGGCGAAAAATACATTTCAACGCTGAATTATTGTCATTTCATGGCATTTAGCGTTCTGTGGGCATCTGCAGTAACATAAGACCACTAGACATGGATCGGCATCCGGCGTGACAAAAGAGGGGGTGTATATTTGCACTTGACTGTTCTGTAATACAATGCTGTTACACTCACGTAGGTCAACATAACATGCAATGTAGTCTTATTGGTCCTACATTAATTAACACAGAGCACTCACGTCTGCAACACTTTTTTTCAGAAAACGTTATGGCAGACATTCGCATACATGCGTTGCATATGATTACAAATTAACTAGACGCATTGTTTTCTCATTCCCGCCCCAAAACAATTTCATACATCATGGTGAAAAACTAATTCTCTGTTCCTTATGTAAAAGCTGATACAGGCTTGTTGGTTTTCTACTATGATGACATTAGCTTTGCAACTTTTTCAGTTTCCACCCGATACGTGTTTTAACGTTTAGATACCCTGCAAATATTTATTACAGTCCATCCAATAATTGGTCTTTGTCCTCTTAAGGAAATAACATATTAACAAATTAACATATTATATTATATTATAAGATACGATTAAACACTAGGATGAACAATCACCCATGTATAACCTGACAATTCTACATTTTATCTCAATGTGTATTTCTGAACGCTTAAAACAATACAATAACAACGTGCCCATCCATCTCGAGCCTAATGACAGGATTGTATAATAGTATCACTAGCTCAGGTTCTGTTTATCTGTTGTTTAACAGGGGCGGTGGGGTAGCCTAGTGGTTAAAACGTTCGCTCGTACCGCTGAAGACCCTTGATCGATTCCCCACGTGAGTACAATATGTGAATTTCTGGCGTTCCCCGCCGTGAAATTCCTGTAATATTGCTAAAAGCGGCGTAAAGCTAAACTCACTCACTCAATGTTGTTTAACGCCACAATCAGCAGTATGCCAGCGTATGAAGCGACATGTCAGTCCGTTTGAGCAGAGACCATATAATATGGTCTCTGGTTTGAGTCAGAAACGGACCGATGAATTGCAAATTTTATCATTGTACAAAATTGCCACATAAATATAAACAGTACACATGTTTTATCATTTACTAATACCCAACAGCTTTCGGATATTTGAAAATTTTCCGGACTCCACCATAAAAGTTGTTGATGAAACTATCATCATTGAATACGCAAAAGTTGTTATCTGTCGCGGCGGGGTGAAACCGCAGAAAAGGAACAGCCACTATCTCGTCGTGCACGGGATACACATGCCTGATGAAAAATGAAGTTGAATGCTGACGTGAAACAGTTGATGATTAAAGTGTACGATATGTTCCGTGCTGAAGCCGAAAGGGGCAAACCATTTTATGCCATTAATAAATTCCGTAAGCGGGCAGCAAAAGCTTTAGGAGTATCAGCAAGGGTACTGACAAATGTTCTGGAACACAAACATTGTGAGGGTGATGCGAAGCAGGTAGGGGTCGTGTCAAAATCACACAAATTAAAACATTTGGACAACTTTCAAAAGAACCTTGTAAGGCAGTCTATCAACAAGCTCTATTCTGAAAACAAATACATGTCGCTGAAAATTTTAAAAAGCATTTGAAGCAAGAACACAACCTCAGAGTATCAAAGTACACACTCTGGCGACTCTTACACTCTTTCGGGTATCGTTATAAGAAAATTTCGGGGGAGAATAGGTCAGTACTCTGTGAACGCCCTGATATCGTTCGCTTGAGAAATAATTTTCTCAGGGTTATAAAGAAGAAGCGCGAGGAAGGGTTCGAGCCAGTGTACTTGGACGAGACCTGGGTCAATGCCTCGCACACTGCCAGCAGTCAGTGGGTACCCGATGGGGGTGATAAGGGGTCACGTAGAAAGCTGCCTCTAGGGAAAGGAGAGAGACTAATCATTCTCCATGCTGGTTGCTCCAGCAAAGGCTTTCTCCCAGGCTGCGACTTGGTATTCAGGGCAAAGTCCACAGATAACAGAGACTACCATTCTGAGATGAATGGTGCGGTTTTCCTCGATTGGGTTAAAAACAAGTTGGTACCAGCTCTACCAGAGATGTCTTTTATCGTAATGGACAATGCCCCATACCACAGCGTGCAGGACCCCGACAGTAAAGCCCCGACATCGAACAGTCGAAAAGGTGATATGATATCATGGCTCGACAATTTTCAGATCGCACGGCCTTCAACGAAGTCTCAGCTATATAAGATCATAAAAACCCACAAAGGTGAACCTTTCTACAAAGTTGACAGTTACATAAAAAGTAAGGGTCACGATATTCTGCGACTTCCACCCTATCACTGTGACCTTAACCCCATTGAAATGATATGGGGTATTGTCAAAGGAGATGTTGCCAGATCAAACACAACTTTTAGATTACGTGACGTAGAGGTTTTGGTTAAGGAATCACTTGACAAAACCACGACTGAAACTTGGCACAACTGTGCCAACAAGGTAGCTAACGTCATTGAACAAGGTTACTGGTCTCGGGATGGCTTACAACAGGCAACTGTGGCACCACTTGTCATCCCTTTAAGTCGTGACTATGACACTACGACGGACGAGGAACCGACAGGTCTCCCGAAATAGATTTTGAGATGTCCCCAGCCATGACTGGCTGTTCCGTTTCTGCGGTTTCACCCCGCCGCGACAGAAAACAACTTTTGCGTTTTCAATGATGATAGTTTCATCAACAACTTTTTGGGTGAAGTCCGGAAAATTTTCAAATATCCGAAAGCTGTTGGGTATTAGTAAATGATAAAACATGTTTACTATTTATATTTATGTGGCAATTTTGTACAATGATAAAATTTGCAATTCAGCGGTCCGTTTCTGACTCAAACGGACTGTACCTTATCACTTCTGGACCAGACAATCCAGTGATTACTATTATCAGCAACGATTTACTGGGCACGGATGACATACAGTCACAAGTAACCTTACACCTCATCGTCGCCGTATCACAGGTTGTTGGGGACCAACAGTCGCCCGGAATACCACTGGGACTACGGCTGTGGGATTATTATAACAAACGTGATATTGATGCCCTATCCTTGGTTTCGGTAATTTCTGCATGTTCATTCATTGTGGGAGTGTTGTTTGCATTTGCATCACGGCGGCAGATAAATAATCGGGTCAGGACTAGAAAAAAATGTTCCGTAATTTAGACAGGTAGGTTTGGTATAAACGCTGTGCAAAGTATCCCTTTAAGTGATGTAGGAGATTAAAATAAGGATGTTTAATTACAGGAATGTGTCGCCCTGTATTGTATTAGAAAAAAGTAATGAATCTCATGGCATTGTGCATTGAAAAAGGCGACAAAAGCTCATGGCATTGTGCATTGAAAAAGGCGACAAAAGCGCAAAAGTCCAATAGTCGTGTCTTGAATAGTGTATTTTATCACATAATTCTTAGTTTATCTTTGTTCACCTTTTCGAATAAATCGAGCTTCCTAATGAAATCACTGAAGTTGATATAACCAGTAGATCTGGTATATATTTGAGGTTTTATGTGAAAAAAATGATTTAAAAGAATTTGTTTATTGGAAATCATAACGATGAAAAATGTTGTATACCGAATTTCATTGTAACTGTTTCCCCAATTAGCTTTGAAAACAATTAGTAAGTCCTTTATTTCTGTAAAATTAAGTGAAATATTTTGATCTATTCTTTTGCTCATATTTTCGTTAGGATCATCAGATTTTACGGGCGCATCTCTTTTCGCACTGTCGTAGTGTGCGGATTTCACTAAGATATATAAGAATCCATGTCCCGTTCTCTTTCTTATGATGACATACTGTGTTCTAACGCTTCTGCAGTAGAATATTGTTAATACAACAATGAAAAGAACCGTGTCAAAAGAAACATTAGTTAACAACATAGAGTTACTTCCCTTTATTCCTCTTCATCCGAAACATCAATTTTAGCCCCTTTCCGGTTTGAAAAATTGCACGGTGCGTACATGGGTTTTTCTTAATTTGTCTAATATGTGTAATGGTATTATAGAAAATATCCTTTTTGATGAATTTTGTATAGTATTGGCTTTAGATAAAAATGATTATGCATTAATCATCGTGTGTTGGACTTCTAAAATACTTGAAAACATATAAAATCTGAATGAATAATTGTGCCTTTTTATTTTTTTGGCAAATTTAGAAATTTGTATTTCATCTGAGGTTGTGGAGAGAAACGGTTAACTAATTGTGTGGATGATCGATGAATGAATCTGAAATTGTTGTGTTATGAAATCGTTTTGCAAAGAAATCTTGTAATATCCCGTATTCACAAATGAAAATATGCGTTGTTGTTGCAAATGTATTAGCGTGGTGTCAATTCCAGTTGGTTTGTCCGTCATATTTGGATGTAAGCAGATGAAACCATTCCCTTAGTATGTAGCCTACAGTTGAGACTAAAGCTTGATGCCAAATAGTTTACCATTGGTCCACAGGCGCTATCACAAATAGTTGGTGCTTGTTTACCTTTTGATCAGCACCTGATTGTTTACCATGATGAACATGTGTAACAGTCATTTTGTGCTGCAATTTAGTAATGATTGTGTTAGAGTTACCCTCAGTTTTGTTGGATTACTGTATCCAGACTCTAAGTGACTGGTAAGTTGAATAAACCTCAAGAATAGTGAATAGCTGTCCAGTCATAAGGATTGTAAACTGGTGTTTGATTTATCAGAAATGTGATGCAAAGGCTTGTTTGTGGTAAGGCATCCTAACCTTAACACAACTAGCTCTAAGGATCTAAGAGGCATGTAGGATCTGTGAAATGAAAGCAACAAATGACAGCCGGATCTAATTGATGACATCTGTGCCATGAGTACTGAAGAAGCAGTTGTACCAATTGTCCTCTAGTGGTATACTGTTTACAGTGTCATTCTCATGGCAATTTTGAATGTATTATGACTAGTGGTGTTCCCGATTAATTGAAATAATTGAAGATTCGTCGCAGTGACCCAACGACCAAGCAATCGATCACATCTTCTCATAATCAAACACAAATGATTTTGGAACTACTGTTTTAGTCTTTGAAACACTTGATGGAAGTTGGAACATATCTTAGAAGTTGTCAGGGCCCGGAACACGTTTATTTCTTAGAAAACTCACTTCACTAACTGAAAAGTCATGACTGAATATTTCTTGAGGACTCTGGGGGGTTTATGTTCATAATATGTTAGTCATCAATTTAAAGGAGCGGTTGCATCATGATATACACATCTGTAATAACAGCCTGGATAGGAAAATCTGAAAAATGATGCTAAACAATGATTGTTCGTCGGTAATGAAGCAATCATCAATTGTGAGATTTCAACCAATTCCCAACACTAATTATGACATATGTAGAGTTTCTTATCACTCTATGTAGTAAATTACTCTATGTAGTAAGAATTACTACTAGACTGCTGTTTTATTGATGTTATCTGTTAAGCCATGAGGAGCTGTAAAATACTAAAATTGCTGGTGCGGCTTAAAGGAAAACCCAATCGGTCGATCAGTCGATCAACCAACCAATCTCTCTCTCTCTGTGTCTCACTCACTCACTCACTCACTTACTCACTCACTATAACAGTAGTCAAAGATTTGATAAGACATGTTATAAAAATCAAATCTATGAAATAGGAAAAGAGCCAACAACATTCCAAAACTCGGACTTGCATATGACAATATGAACCATCATGCTCTGGTTAACTCATACTGAGTGATAGTCACAATTTTAACATGTTAAGTGAATATTAATCCTGATATGCACAGTAAAATGTGATTTTGTTTTCAGCTTTACGTGTAAAGATGTCTGGGCTGGATGCTCTAGGTATCCCGGGTGGCGAGGCTCTGAGAGAGGCACTGACCAACTGTTCTGACCCTCTTGGCGCCATTGAGGAGTTTCAGAGTGAAAATGGTGTCCTCCTTCCATCTCTAAGACCAGCTCTTCCATTCTTGGATCTTCATGGAGTCAGACGTCTGGAATTTCATGAATCCATCTTGGAGGAGCTTCGTGAGAAACTTGTCAATGGGATATCTGATTTAGCAAACAGTAACAGGGAGGACAAGATCAAGAAGCTTGAGGAGCTCTTGGTAAAGAGTTTTCCTGTTATCAAGGTGAAGACTGTCAGACCTGTTGTGATGAACATCCTCAAACATCTGCCTCAGATCAAAGAGGAATACCTGACTCAGATCCTGGACGACAAGGAGCTGTACACAGAGGCTGCCACTGAGGTCAAGCGACAGATATGGCAGGACAACCAGGCTCTCTTCGGAGACGAAGTCTCACCTCTGTTGCAGCAGTATATTGCTGAAAAAGAGAACTCTTTATTGAGTCACGAAAACAGTGCATTATCCTTCTTCCTACCTATGCCCAAAGTTAGACGTCAGTCAGAGGTTGTTCAAAAACTTGTCCATATGATTGGTAAAAATGTGAAACTTTATGATATGGTGTTGCAGTTTTTACGGACCTTGTTTTTGAGGACACGAAACACACACTACTGCACATTACGGGCCGAGTTGTTGATGGCTATTCATGACCTGGAGGTGAATGAGATCTGTTCGGTGGATCCGTGCCACAAGTTCACCTGGTGTGTGGATGCCTGTATTAGGGAGAGGATTGTCAACACAAACAGGTCCCGAGAGCTGCAGGGTTTCTTGGATGGGATAAAGAAGGGGCAAGAATTTGTACTGGGGTAAGTCAGTTCTGCAGGGTTGGTTTTGGGTTTCTTTATTAACCTTCTCTTTCTTCCTAGTATAAGTGTGTAATGATGCTACCACTAGTACTAGCTGGAATTTTAGGGGAGTTGTTTTCAGACACATGCCTTTCTACCAGATGAAACTGGAACATCGGATTAGATAAAAACAAAATTAAACATGAGTACATGGTGTACGTCCTATTCCATTGTTGTAGGATTTACAGAATACATCCAGGGGAAATAATCTGTCATTCTGAGTTGTTCTACACTACTCTGACATTTCAGGAAAGATAAGTGAAGAAGAATGTTTGAAATGTGACCCCAGTTTTCACAAATGGTGTTTCAAAGTAACAGGACATTGGTTCCTGTAAGTTTCAGATGTCTGTCTGACCCATTGAAAATGCACAGGACCCATGGAATAAAATTAAACACACATTTCAGATTTAATATTTCTTATAATTGACATTGAAATTATTAACAAACATAAGATTTATAAACAGCAAACAAGTGTCACATGTCACATAAAACAACCTCAGTCAAAGTCATTGTGAAATATACAGTCAGACACTGGGGCCGGCGGGTTGTAGACTTCTGTCTGACTGTTGGCGAATCTGCCGGATTTGTCAGAGGGTCAGACGCTATTCATGAACACTGTGACCCTACAAACAAATGTGAAAAAAAATATTAGTTCATATGGCATATTCTTGGTAATTTGTCTCCTGCATCATAACCAGTGGATGACATATCAATGATGAAGCACTGTGATGTAACATTGATTTAAGTGATTGAAGCATTACTTAGTTGTTGCTCTAAGTTTGTGCATGTAGTAAGCACTGAGAGTATTTTGACATTCACCTGATACAAGATTGTTATGATACATTAGGACTTTTCTACAACCTGATGTGATGGATGTGATGGTGTTAAAACTGTGATGTGATGTTTACAGTTTTTGTTTTATCATTGAACAGTGACCTGTCCATGATCTTATGTGATCCATACGCCCTCAACACCATCGCTCAGTCGGCCATGAAGGTGCTCCTGTACTGTGTCAGCTCGGAAACACTACCGCGGGTCAGTAGGAAGTTTATTGTTCAATGTTCAGTGAATCGTTGAATGGACCTGGTGCCCCAGACTTGATAGTTGAACCTGAAATCTATGATCATCTTCATCATGGGTTAAAAACCAATATTATTCTTCATATTACAAAAATGTCTGTGGGTTCCACCAGCAAGAATAGTCTAAACATTACAGATTTATGGATATATCAGTAGTGTGATATGTGATGAAATCTCTTTTGAAAAGACCGCCTCCGTGGTGTAGTGGGTAGAGTGTCCACCCGGAGAGCGGAAGGTCGCGGGTTCGATCCCCGACCACGTCATACCAAAAGACGTGAAAATATGGTACTTGTTGGTCCCTGCCTGGCGCTTGGCATTAATGGGTACAACAAGGACTGGTCGGCTCGGAGTCAGTATAATGTGTCTGAGTGGGGTATTCATGCTTCACTGCGGCATGGTATCTCAGTGGGCTAGCACTATAAAACCAGCTTCAGTCTGGGCTAGTACAAGCAGCCGGACATACACATACACACGCATGCACGTCGTCATATGAGCGAAATATTCTCAAGCACGTCGTTAAACCCAATGTCACCTCACCTCATCTTTTGAAAATGGTTTGATGTTCTGTGTTTCTAGGAGAACCACGATCTGCAGCTGCTTGTACGGATGATCGCACTCGGTCTGGGAGCTTGGAATATGATCGACAACCAGGTCTTCAGAGAACCAAAACAGGTGACACTCCAAACTGTTTTATAGGGAGCAGGATACTCAATAAATATTTCCTTTCTCGTGTCACTCATTAGAGTGAGTGAGGAGGGTTTCATGCCATATTTATAAATATTTCAGGACTGTCACAGTCCGGGACACCAGAAACTATTGTATTAGTTGGCTAAATGTGTGGTGATTTGGTTATATAGTCCAGCTGCACTGGAAGTCCTTCATTATAGTGACCACTACTTATTCTGTTTCAGACATAATGATTAATTGGTCAGAATCTGTTACCTGTCAGATTTTGAGTCTGTTTCAGACATAATCATTAATTGGTCAGAATCTGTTACCTGTCAGATTTTGAGTCTGTTTCAGACTTAATTATTAATTGGTCAGAATCTGTTACCTGTCTGATTTTGAGTCTGTTTCAGACTTAATTATTAATTGGTCAGAATCTGTTACTTGTCTGATTTTAAGTCTGTTTCAGACTTAATTATTAATTGGTCAGAATCTGTTACCTGTCTGATTTTGAGTCTGTTTCAGACATAATTATTAATTGGTCAGAATCTGTTACCTGTCTGATTTTGAGTCTGTTTCAGACATAATTATTAATTGGTCAGAATCTGTCAGATTTTGAGTCATGCTGCTCAAATGGTGTTGATCATCAGTGGTTTTGCTATATTATTTACAGGCTAATGCATGCAACATAAATGTTGCAGAATGTGGTGTTAAACTACAAACAAGTCGGAGAAGTCGATGGAGTGTTTTGCATAGAAAATATTTCAAAGTGTTCATGGAATTCAGCTTATTTTGAAAATGGCCTCTAATTTACCCATGACATAATTTTCAAAACGTAGGCTGTTACACATTAGTGTGTGTTTGTTGCAGGAATCTCAGCTGTTCACCAAGTTCATCCCCTGTATTGTGGGGATGGTGGTAGACGATCAGATCCGGGCAGTCAGCACCAAGCTGGAGGAGGGGTCGTGTGGGATTCGGCCTCCGTCTGAGCTGTACTCCATCTGTATCAAGCTGAGCCCCATCGCCAGCCTGTTTGCCATGTACTACGCCCTCCACGTGGCTCGATACAAGGACCGGGTCGCCGTCACACAGATACTTCCTACACTCATACACTGTGAGAATGACCGGGCGTACGATGACATATTCCTTCACTCACTCATTTCCCATCTTATACACATGGTCGACGACTTTGCGATGAGCGAGGAGTTCTGTTCAGCTGTCTTTGATGACTTCCTCCTGGTATGTAAATTTTTAAACTTAAGCACAATTGAAAATTAAAAAGTCCTTATAAAGTCTTATAGCTAAAATGGATGGAATTATGAAACTGCTATCTAGTTATCAGAAATGAGCAGGCCGCTGCAAATGATAATGGCCCGCTGATTCCTTAACGATGGACGATTATCAGTCACAGCAAGACATCACAGCAGTATTGTCTTCTTCTGTGAACCTAATGACGTCACGCTCAATAATGACGTCATAAATCTTGTTCCATGACCTGTGTTGGGTCAACAGTCCCTTTAGTTAAACACCAACTTATATATAATATACATATAGAAAGAATGCACTAATGAGGTATTGTGATGTGTATTGTACTTGTATATCATGACATATTCTAGTTTGGTTTGTTTTCTGCAGGTTGGTCTGTCGAAGGAGAATGTGCTCCGTCACATGCTTCGTCTGTTGTGGCACATACATCATCGACTATCGCAGACCAGACTGGAGAACCTGATGGAAACAGTGCATCCCAACAATGAGGTAGCGTTGTACATCCCCACAATGTTGTACTGCCAAACAGTGAGGGAATATTGTACATCCCAACAATGTTGTACTGCCAAACAATGAGGGAATATTGTACACCCGAACAATGTTGTACTGCCAAACAATGAGGGAATATTGTACACCCCAACGATGAAGTGATGTTGTACACCCCAACAATGAGGTAGCGTTGTACACCCCAACAATGTTGTACTGACAAACAATGAGGGAATATTGTACACCCCAACAATGAAGTGATGTTGTACACCCCAACAATGATGCGATGTTGTACAACCAAACGATGACATAAGGGTAGATATGTTATACAAGTACCTGTTGAACTTTATAGTCTAATGTTGTTGCCATAGATTTGACATATTGGTTTGTATGTTTCCAGCTGAGTGAAGCTGTGAGGACAACGTACCAGCAACTGAGTGAGAAGATCAACACATACAGCCCAAGTCCAGTAGCCCAGCCCGAGAAGCTGGACTCCCCTCTCATGAGTGTACCTGCACCTACCCCTGCAGTTCCGGATAGGATGTGAGATGACTTCCATCTGTGTGCCTTCCAAATTCAAGCTAGTCTGCTAGCCTGGGACACTAAAGTATGCTGAGGAATAGTGTAACGCAACTGAGGAAGTTTCTCATTGACTGACAGATTTTGAGAACTATGTTTCTGAATAAGTTCTGAGTTCTACCGTTTTGCTGCAAGCTGGAACTGAATAAAACTGAACAAACAACTGAAATAATCTTAAGACTAGTCTTCTAGGACTTGTCTCTAGGACTGAAAGGATAGTGTCATCCAGTTTCTTCCTGACTCGGTGGTCGCTAGGACATTGTCCTCTGTGAGTGACATACAGATACTAGCTCAAACCATCCACTGCAGAACGATTCATGTCTCCCTCAACAGCATATGACTGGTGACATTTGTGATGGTGTAAAATATCTGAATAATAATGACCATAAGCTATTCTTGTTGGCTTTATTCATGCATTACATAATACAGGCATCCCTCGCCATAACACGGGTCTTGGGGTCCATGGATGACCCCCCCACGTTATTAGACACCCGCGTTATAGTAACGATTACATAACGCGAAACAAAGGCCAAGTAAAATCATATTTTCCATGGAAAACCTGCTGGCAGAGGTAGAACTGTTTCATAGGCGCTCACATAGATGTTTAAACAGCTGGTCCTGGGACAGTATACAAAGTCATGGCACCATAATGGTACATATCATTATACTGAAACATGATGATGATGTAGGTAACATAACAATAAGTATGTACTATTTGTGTCAATACATCAGTCTGTGATATCACCCAGGGGACACGGACTAGCATGGGTCCACAGCATCCTGTGGAGGTGGTCATCAAATGGATTGACTGATCAAACTTGGAGAGTGGAGTTTGATCGTCACTTGATCACATGATTATCTGGCCCAGACTAAATGATTCACATGCCACTGTCATGTAGTTAGAATATTGCTGAGAGGAAGTTCAACAAGAGACAAAGCGTTTGTGTTGTATAAACATCTCATCTGCTGCCTGAAGCCCACATAAAATCACAAGGCTATTCCCACTATATCCATGTGGTGTCTGTCAACCCATGAGTGAGTGAGTGAGTGAGTGAGTGAGTTGGGTTTTACGCAGATTTTAGCAATATTCCAGCAATAACACGGCGGGGGACACCAGAAATGGGCTTCACACATTGTACCCATGTGGGGAGTTGAACCTGGGTCTTCAGCGTGACGAGCAAACACTTTAACCACAAGGCTAGCCCACTGTCCCGTCAACCCATCTGAAGTGAAGCGTGTTAGTATTGTGAGATGTTACCTACTGCCTTCTAAACCTGCAGACTGGGTTTCATGACCAGGATGCCTGTTCCGTTGATTACAATATGTACATAGCCATGGTACAAAACAAGGTCAGACCAAATCAATCAGGTGGTCCCACTCTGGGCCTTGGTTAATCATGTTTCACCGGGACAAGCCACACCCGTCCTCACAATAACAATCACTGTCGTGTCTAGTGTCTACACTATTTACAATCTCATGTTGTACAGGTGGAAGCTAAACAATGTATTCTCTCGGTGAACTGGTTGATCCATGTCATCGTACCCCAGTAGTGTGGATCGGTACAGATGATGTCAATCACAGGATTGTCTGCTTCAGACCTCTATAATATAGCTGGAATAATGCTGCATGTGATGCTAAACAAACAAGAAGACAAAGTCATCAATATCCCCCTCAACGGCAAAATATTCTTGATGAATATGTCTACTAGTTATGATTATGTCAAATGTTTTGGAATGTATACAGCAAAGTGGAAGGAGAGTATTGAAAGGTTTTTAAGATCTGCTCCAGAAAGGAGCACTACCACCAAATCCAGTTGAAGCCTAACTTGTTGCCATGGAAATGCAAGAAGATGACATCCTCATAGTCACAGGTTAAGTCACGTTTCCACGGAAACCACAAAAAATAAGATTCATATCTGGGTCTATATCCCAAAAGGCACATCTAGGGATCATGTTTGACATCTGTACCAAGGTTGGTTAAGCTATCGCGAATAGTTTAGGAGATATGCCTCGGACAAAGTGTGATGGACGCACGGACGGACAGAACTCGTTTCTATATTCCCCGCAACTTCGTTGTTGTGGGGGATAACAAAGCATACTGAGGCCAGGAGATACTTGATGAAGCTGTAGAATCTACACATCATGTTTCTTCATTTGATCTTGATGCTATCAATGTTGACATTGTCAACGCGAAACAAAACAATAATACAAATTATTATGAATTATTTATTCACATTTGTAAATAACATATTGGCATTTCATTAAACAACCATTTAAATCCTTATGCTTTTATGGTAATATGGGTGTTTTTTGTGTTACTGTAAAATGTCAACTCCTATATTATATGGTCAAGAGAACATTTTAAAATGAAAAGTTTGTATTCTTGCCAATTGATCAATTTATCTTATCCTCCATATACCAAGACATTTCCCTCATAACCTGATACATTACTGATAATGTAAAACTTGTCAATACACAATTGAGACAATGAAAAAAAAAAAGGTTGAAAAGAGATGTAATCCTAGCCATTTGAATGGATAATATGTAAATAATCACAGGACCTGATAAGTAGAAATGAGATATCGTGAAGGACGTTGATGTATGCTGTAGGAATGATCAAATCTTTGTTCTGCTTGTATGAGGAAACTCAGATAATCTACATACACCAAAATTGAGTATGCCTAAAAAATATATGCTCAAACTGAAATAATCATACAAATCTTCCTTCGCTGACTTGACATTGTCTCCGTTCGACCTCTGAGTCACCACTGACTGATGAATATGGTTTCATACAACCACCAGAAAACTTACTGTACTTAAGAAAAGAGGCGAGTTTTGAGTAGTTCGTGCTGGGTTTACTGAACAGCGTTGAGCCGTATTCCAGCAGGGAAAACAAAAAGTGATGCATGTCTCCATGGTGTACCAGTGTGGCAAAACTCATGAGCACAGGTATGGTGTTGATATACATAGAACCATAATCTGGGTGACGAACCAATATTTGAACCTTAGCTTTAAATGACTGCGCCACCCTTCCAATAATTGAATACCTAATAAGATGAAATCTTAAAATTATTTAATTCAATTAAAGCTTCCATAAAATTTGCCCAAATGACTTCTTATTACTGAAGGAGGATCAGGATTTAGAAAGTTGATGGATTATAGTAATACCCTTGTCATGTGCCACTTGGTGACTTCGCCAAGGCCACAGTTAAAATGTCAAATGTGGGAAAATATGGGGACTTTGCAACCCCACACTGTATCCAACAGTGGGAAGCTCTTGGTAAGACATTTTGACACTGTCTGAAAACCTATGAAGCTGTCAACAGCACTTACATAAAACTCTTCAGTATAAGTTGTTATTAAATTCCCAATGAGATTTTTGTCAAAATAAAATTTTTTCAATACACGAAACTCAAGAGATGTAATACAAAGAAGCCCAAGAAGAGATACAACCTTTAAAATTTCATTAAAATAACTAGTAAATTTGATGTGCTAAAAACCCAACTGCCTTGGTCCAAGGGTCGTGGAGGTGTCATACAACTACCTGATATTTCAGCTGTGTCACAAAAAACAGGAAATTGGCCATGAGGGTGAGCGCTGTCGGGATTCCTGGACCATGTGGATTGGGTGGTCAGGTTTGGTGATTTGGAACATGTAGATCATTGTACACATCATCCGAAACTAGATTGTCTTGTCCAGATTCCATCATTTGCTGACCACCTTGATAGGTAAAGTATTGTGCCATTTAATAACAAGCGTTCACACCTTGTAGGTGGCTTATGGTGTGACACAATCAGGAAAGCTGCAGCACACAACAGTCCATTAACCTTCTTCAGAACCTGGCATTCTTAGTTCTCATCTTTGATGAAAGTTACACTAAACAAAAAAATGAATCGTAGCATCAAATTGTTTGCAAACTGAATTGTAACATACATCGAAACCTACATGGCAACAAGCAAAATAACTGTCTGTACTAAATGGGCTGATAATATAAACTTAATTTTTAACATAATAAAATGATTGAAACAAAACTTGGCAAACTGGAAACCGATGTAGTACTTTCCTAATAAAAAGCTCCATCATATGACACCAATTAGCACCATCAATACACAAGCTGTCTTTACACGCAACAAGCACGAAGTTCACAAGTTCCCAGAATCCTTTACACTGCCGTTCCATCATCTCCTGGGGGTTCCGCTCGATCGGACAATACTGTCAACAGTTGATCAAACTTGCTGTGGCGATCGGAACGATTGACACCACAACCTTTCAGTCCCCAAAACAACCTCAACTGCGTTTCAGTTTTGAACACGTCTGTCATTTCATTATTTTCTTTCATTTCACTGACCACAGAGCTCCCGACAATGTGGTAGAGAGCAAACTGGGATGCAATGATACGTGCAGTGTCCAAATGAGCGAGAAATATTTCTGTACCAAACAGAGCCTTGTCCATATTCTCCCATGGAAGATTGCTCATGACAGAGTCCAGGTCTCGCTCCAACAAATGTACCACCGGGCTTATATGAGGAATACACACATTTTGCAAGGGGGAGAGAACTGCTCCCATCATTAAGGGCACTGTATGCTGTTTTGAGCTTCGTGTCGAACAGGTATGCGCTTCCTGTGTGATTCTGTCGGAGAACCAGCCACATGTCCCTTAGCCTTTGAATCTGAAAGAGATTAAACAGTTTATCAGGCTTGTCTGTAACAGTCTCAGTCAAACTATTGAACAACATAATCTTAAGGCCTATTCCGTATTACCAGTATATACCGACATACTGTAAGACGTTTTTAAAAGGATAAGTACAGCAGTTATTGTTCTGTGTTATGGAATACTGTGTAGAAAGGGAATTAAACACGTTTTGTTATTATTTGTATTGTTTGACTTAAAATATACACAGATATTCTTTCACAAATTCATTGACAAAACACAAAAAGTTACATTGTTACCTCCTGTATCCATGACTACCAAGTGGAAGTGATTAACTATGCTGAGGTTGTCTACTTTTACAGTAAGCAGAAAATAGATCTGCATGTACTATTACTGTTACCCTATTTAGCTCTCACAAACCAACCCTGTTGTCTTCAAAGACTTTGGTCCAACATGATAGTTGACAGTTGCCATCTGTTTAATCCATGAGACTCACCTGTTGTGACACCAGGGCATCCATGACGCTGACAAAACCAAACAAGTTCCCCATGGTGGTCTTGAGTTCACTTGCAATCTGGATCCACTGGTTGGCCATCCGAGCCCGCTCCGTCGTTGTCGCGCAGGTCAGTGTGGACACCATCACCAGCAGCTTCATACAATGACATCTACAACAATATAAACTTAATTTTTGACATAATAAATGATTGAAACAAAACTTGGCAAACTGGAAACCAATGTAGTACTTTCCTAATAAAAAGCTCCATCATATGACACCATAAATAATAATGTCTTGACAAGGCAGACTTTATGCTTGTCATCTAAATATTCATTTATAGCAGATACCTTGAAACTTATGTAGTCTTGTAAATCATATTGCTAAAGATACATATAAGTAGAACATACCTTTCAATCAAGTCCTGCCGCAGTTGCTTCCCCTGAGGCAAGGTCAGCAGTTCCAGCCCAGACTGCACTCCAACACCAAAGTCATGTTCCTTCAGAATATTGAGCGATTGTAAGTCCACTTTGGTCATATGTTGAGCAATAACTTTAGGACTTCCGTCCAACAGAATCGTCTTGACTGAGATCATCGAAGAAGCATCCAGAGGCTTATTATCGCTTTGTAATAAACTTGTTTTAAAGTCATACGCTGAGTAACTCATATGAGATTTGACCTTAGGTGTTGTAATTTTCCTTTGCCTAAGGTATTTGACATCGTAAACACAGCTCTCTGGACCTTGGTTGTCCATCACAATGTCGTTAGGTGAGTCTGGCTCACTTGTATCAATCACGGAAAACCTTGTGTCTGAGAAAAGTCTCATTCTTGATGCCGGATCTTTTTTCATATTGGGTGTGCTTGTAAGTGTTTTTTTAAGATTGTTGAAATTATTATCATAAATGTCTTTGTCCCCATGGGGGTCATTGTCTAGCCTCCTGCTGTTCAGTTGTTTTACTCTGTTCATCACATTGTTCTGATTATCAGTCAGCCAGCTCGGACTCTCTTTCACCTGACAATAGTCGGAGTAATCCCGGCCGTCGTCTTCATACAGAAACTTGTTGCGAACCTCCACCACAGGCCGCTGCTTGTATTTCACTGAAGGTATGCGGCTGGGTTTGGGTGGTGGTGGTTTGGAGAGGTCACTGTCAGACCCTCCCTTCTCAGTCCCGTTCTGTGGACAAGGAGCCAGGCCACCATTCGGGGTCAGCACTGGTTCACTCCCTGCCCGTTGGTGGTAAACAGGCTGGAACTCTTTCCTACCGGACAGCTGAGGGCTTGCTGTTGGCGTGTTGATCATAGGTAGGCTGTCACATCGGTCCATTGAGGGCGACCGGCTTCTGTCATCCCCCATGTCATCCATAGACAACAAGGGTTGACTGCCGGTTCGTTTGGGACCTTTTCGGTTCATTCCAGGGCTTCCAAAAGGGCTACCTGTAGGAGTGGATAGTGGGCTTCCTCTGGGGCTTTGTCTCGATGAGTAAATGTTCACAGCAGCAAGGCTTGTCAGTGCTCCGTACTTGGAGTCATAGTAACTCAGAGGCATAGAACGTGCAATGGGTGATCTGAGCACAGCGGATGATGCATTTGTCACGGGCTTACCTTTGGATTGGTAGTAATGAATTAGGACCTGAATACTATTGAAAGACTCATCTTCAAATTGATAATAGATCTTTGGTAGGGCACCGAGAAGAGAATCTCCAACTAAAGCGTTTATCATGAAGTGGAGTGGGACAGCCTTCCAGCAACATGTTAACACAAAGTCTCCTGGTCGAGATATACAGTCTCTCACAAGGAAATCACCATCCTCGGTAACCAGGGTTTCAGCTCGCTGCCGGGAGATGTTACCATGGTACCAGGACCTGCTCTTTAGCTCAGATGGATCTGCATTGAGCTCCCTCTGAAGATCTTGTCGGAGCTTCTCTGGCGACACCTGAAGGCTGTGGTAGTCGGGGTGAGACAGAGGAGATGGAGGGCTGGTCCTGAAACAGATGACAATATTGTCAGAACAATCCCTGTATTGTCAGAACAATACCTGAGTGAGTGAGTGAGTGAGTGAGAGTGAGTGAGTGAGTGAGTGAGTGAGTGAGTGAGTGAGTGAGTGAGTGAGTGAGTGAGTGAGAGGTTTCATGTTGCTCAACAACTCATGCTCAAATGTTGTTTGACCAAAGTAACATTCAAGACCTCAATTAAGCTTACAAAACATTTTCAGAATTATGTAAGACAATATAATATTTGACATACCAGTGACATAAATATAAAGTTCCTATCTTGACTAATGCCATATAATCAATGGTATTTTTTAAGATGAATAATTGACCAGCCTTTGCATGTGTTTGTGATAGGTGTCATTGTTGGGGCCTGTACTCCCAACATACAGCAACACATTAAGAAATCACCGTTTCCATGACAATGCAGGGATCCTACTTTGTAGTGTCCCACTACTCTGAAGTCAGTCTAATGTTAAAGGTATACGCACAGGATACAAATATCTAAATATATATAATTCTGTTACAAACAAATAACTCCATATAAATTAAAAAGGACCCCCAGTGAGCTCAGGGACATCTAGACCTTTTTGTAGACAGGGTTGGGTGGCAGGGACAATATTGTGTTCCAGGGACTGTGAGCCAGACTAAGGATACAAGAAGCAGTGAAACAGGAGGGTTGACTTTCCTGGGGCGCAGTATGAACGCTGCCAGTGTGTCCCACCCACGCACGATTCCAAGTCAACAGCTGGTAACACCCCCATAAACATAATCCTGTGCTACACAACTGATTATAACAAATAAACTCTGTTGCCGATTTTTCATGATTATGAATGATTCATAAGAAAAGCAAGATTTATGGACGTCAACTTCTTTATTGTGAATAACATGACGTTTTTGAGTGTATGCTTGCTCCTTCACCTGATGATACACTCTGAAACATGTTATTCACAATAAAGAAGTTGACATCCATAAATGTTGCTTTTCTTATGCATTCCACTTCTAAATGACCTTCAAAGATTTTATGAATGATACACACTTTTTTTTTCAGACAACATGATGATGACTTAGCTTATGTAACATGTCATATGACATGTCAATAGCATTTGACCATTTCCCATGTGCAAAAATCCAACCACTTGTTCAAGTGTTTTTTTTAAAGACATTCTAAAGAACACTGGGTGAGATATGAGTGAGTTGGTGGATGGGTGAGTGTGTGAGATATGAATGGTTAAATGAGTGAGTGAGTGACTCATGCCACAATTAGATATATCCCAGCTAAATTCACATGGAACAGTTTACGATACCAAACCCATGTGATGAGAATCAAACCAGGTCTGACAGGCGCACACTTCCACCACAGAGCCACCCAATATCCCAACATTCCTGACACAGCCATAAACCACAGAACAAATAACACTGACAGGAACATCAGTCACAGGAGTAATTCCAGGTCAATAAACCACGGCTAACTACACCAAGAAATGTACTCCAGATGCTCATCTCCACGACAGTCATCACATCCAGCAACATCCTCCATCTTTGATGTGTTAATTACACTAAGAAAAATACTTCATCAAACTGGATGTAAGACAGGCCGGCACTCTGGAGTGCCACTCAACATCCTCTGTGTTCTGGCACTCCTACGGTGGTTCCTGTATAGGAGGGAATACCAGGAACTGCTAGAGGCTCTTCTAACTCTTTTATCCATTGCCAGAGCAACAAAGTTGGACTAATTGTAAACACTCAACCTACATCTTCAACTGGTTCTCTTCAAACGTAAACAGATGATGAGAAACTCCCCAAATCCGCTGTCTTATTTAGCAGTTTTTCTTTAACCTTGACAGACTTTTTAAAGAAATCCAAACTGCATTAGCTGCACTCTATCAACAAGATGAAATGTGTGCAACTCCAAAATCTACACGATTCCGCGGAACCTGAGACATACGGTTCTGTATGTGCGATATCTCCGCACATGTAAACAGACACGGAGCTGATGTTCCGTGTGTCTTGTACGGAACAGGTGAGTTCTGTATATGTAACAGATAAACAAATTTCTCAGGTGACTATGGACATGATGCCATCATCCTTATCTCGAGATAGACTCAGGAAGATAACTCTGAGATGTGTTAGAACAGGAATTCTGTGTTAGGTTGTCCAATTGTACTTGATGCTCACTGTGGCAGTTGCACGACATGGGGGGACTGTGTCAAAAGTAATGGAGCTGTTTAGACAGAATTCTACCCATATTTCTACATGAATAAAGCATTATTATAGGATATTTATATAGCGCACAATATCCCAGCCACTAGTGCATGCTCAAGGCGCTGGTATTATTTCCCTCGATCATTGGATGTCAATCTCAATGGCACATCATATTATCAATCTCAACTCCCTGGGGAGTATACAACTCCTTGCAGCCACTAGGTGCACCGAGTTATTGTGGTTTCTCATCCTAACAAGGTACTCATTCACAGCTGGGTGGACTGGGACATATAGTCACAGTACTCTGTTCAAGTTCACTGCACGTTGCTGTACCCGCAACTAGGTGTTTGCACGTATTCATGTGGCCACCATCTGGTCATATGCTAACGGATTCGTGGGCACAGGGTTGTGTACTGTACACTAGGGGTTGTGACAACACTGAAAGAGTCTGCACACATTCTTTAATGGGTAAGTTATTTAGTTTTAGTTTGTTTTGTTTAATGTCTCACTCAGCACTATACTAACTTTATGAATAATCTGGGCTTGATTAAAACAATTAAAGTGAGTGAGTGAGTTAAGTTTTACGCCACACTCAGCAATATTCCAGCTATATGGCAGCGGTTTGTAAATAATCACATCTGGACCAGACAATCCAGTGATCAATGGCATGAACATCGATCTACGCAATTAGGATACAACCAAGTCAGCGAGCCTGACCACCCGATCCCTTTAGTCGCCCCTTACTGCAACACTGAATTACCAATTCTAAGACGTATCTTCACGGATTTAAACAATTAGAATTTCCAATAGTGGAAAATAAAACTGCAAAATATCAACTTGCATCCAGTGTATGTTAATGTTTTGCTGCTCAAAGAACACACACTTCGACTGGAAAACAGAATGATGAGGAACTAACTTTGAGCAGTGACTGATGACTACGTGGAGAGTGTTGAACGATAGATACTGTTTATGTCATATAGTTTTATGAAGTATGATTAAATGATCTGATCAAGCAATGAATAACTTTGTGATAATGTTCTACATCAAACCTGAAGCATCATATATATTTCTATATTGTGAAGCAGGTGCAACCTGTATTTGTCTGGTGGAATAAGGTTATTACCTAACATTGCACTGAGCACAATACATTTAATACCAATGTTTCAGAGTTTTCACAACTTGAATGTTTCTGTTATTTCCATAAATGCAAGTGTTCCCCCAAAATGGCCATATCCTCGTCCTGCTCTGAGATGCCCCCTTGTTGCACGTCTGCTCTTGCTGCAGTATAAAGTTTATTTTAACACATCGTGATTCATACATGATTAGATAGAAACCAGGAACCTGCAAGATATTGGGGGGAACTGGTCTGTGGAGGAGAGGGTGACATTCCTGGGAACAGGAACTTTTGTTTCCATGCCAAAATTTGAGCATGCAATTTCTGTTGAGAACCGCCAAGAAACATGTCACTTCCATTAAAGCCAGCCGCCAGTCTGATAGCCCACACACCTGTTTCCCATGAAAGTCTGTTAGTGACTGATTCCACTTCCTTCATTTTAAGTTAAATAATTTGTGGGTTTTGGGAGAAAGTTGAAACATGGATTTTGCGGTGCAACCATAGTGGTAGCTTTTATCATGACTTTGAATCAAATACGCTGTCATACCTCTATGACAAAGATGCTCCATAGCTATCGTCATTACCACTACTGTATGGTACCAGAGACCATATAATATAATCTATTGTATGGTCTCTGATGGTACACATATCACTGCTGACAGTACAGTACAGACATGGAGGATATTATATGAGTGCCCATGTCATACTATGTTTATCACACGAGTGCCTAAATGTTGGTATTTCCTGAACAAGAGCGAGTGATATACCTATATTTAGGCACGAGTCATCAACATAGTATGATATAGAAGATCTGATTGTCCTAGGCCATTATTATTATTATACACATCTGTATTATTATATGTTTTGTTGCTCATCATATATATGTGATTCATTATATATCTTGTTTATGTAGTTTATAGAATATTGTCACTGTTTCTGTATGGAACGTTTGCACAATAAATATTTGATTTGATTTGATTTGATTTGATTTGATTATGGGCACAGATATAATATTCTGTTTATTACCGAAGTCGTCAAATTGATGAACATGAACCTAAATCTACTTTCAAACATAGGCTGGCTAGCCGTTGCCGCTGCAAGTAGAAGGCAACGTCACAGAAGAAACGTGATGTCAAAGCATTGTTCATGACGTCACGTCACCATGACGTAGGTAATAAACATAAAATATAACCACTTCCAAACTCATAAGAACTTCATGGTCTAATTCAGCTATATCATAAGCAATAGTGACAAATTTATGGATAAAATCAGCTTTTATGTCTGAGTGCAACAATGGTAGAAGAATCTGTACCGAAATACTGCACTCACAAATATAAAAGTTTATATCCAAAAATTTGTCAGTATTGTACCTGTAACATATGTTATATTTGGGATTACACTTCACCAATTTCAGTTAGTAAAGTTTATACTTTTGGGTTGAGTCCATCCAGTCCCACCAGATTCTATGAACCCACACCCTCAAAGTCTGGCACCTAATCACCAGCACACAAAGTCAGCAGCCTAACCCGCTCAGCCACCGCTACTTCCACAAAAATGGAAGTCGGACAACTGATAGTCTAGACTGCGGAATTTGTGTACCCTCTGATAAGTGTTAATTCGAATCCCGGTTGGGACTCAACCCAAAAAGTACTAGAATCTGTACTTTACTAAGAAA